AGAGAAAATAAGGAGAAGGAAGGATGGCAAGGATGAGAAAAGAGAAAGATTTACTTAAAAATGAAGGTGAAAGCAAGAAGCCTTTGATTTAGAAAGCATACATCTGAGTGTGTGTTGTCCACGTGTGGTGCATTTGATGGTCTTCATGTGACTGCAGAATGGCTCAGCCTCATTAGCAGACAGCAGCCCTTTTCAAGAGTGGGCTTAACACAGCGTCATTTACAGATTTCGTTTCAAGGCAAATGCTATGCTCCTGTCTGGCATTCTTCCTTCTCCTGCTCCTCTCCCCACAAGTGTCAAGTGTGAGTGAAGTAGCTTCCGGTAGTCAGCCTGTGGACAGCTGCTCTTCCCCCGTCCCTCAGAAGCGGACAGGTGCATAGCTTGTCTACGGCCTTCCCAGGCTGGCAAGATGAAGCTGGGTGTGCGCCCAGCAGTGAAGTCTGTGCTAGCTTGTCTTGCTTCACAAGAACCTGGTGATCTGCAATGACTAAATAAAGGACTTGCTGTTCACAAAGGACTTAACTAAGAAACTAAAAGAAGGAAGATGATGTCAATCAACTAATTCCATGACTGAAAAAAGTGAAAGAAAAACATAATATGAGTGTTTGTGTGTTTGCAAATATGTACGAGAGCACATGCCACAGCAAGGCTGATACACAAACAAAATCACAGAGAATGTAACATCATACACAAGATTTGCAAAAGTTCAAGTCTGTAAAACCCCACTGTAAAGAGATGGAAGTGGATGTAAAGCCCACCTCTAATCAAGAAGCTATTTGCAGTTGATACCTGTTGGGAAAGGAGAAATCAATTTTCTCCAGTGGAAAGACACTGATATATCAAACACTCTAGGACAGGCCCCATGCCAGGAGCTGTTGACCAAAACACATGGACTCCATGCTTTTTGTATTTTTGCATGTGCTTTTTGTTTTTAGTTTGGTAATTTTTGTCTTATTGGGTTTTTTGTGTTTTGTTTTGTTTTTGGTTTATTTTGATTTTCATTTTCTTTTTATTTTCTTTTTCATGGGGAAGAGAATGAAAGGAAGATGAAGTTGGGTTGATAGAGAGGTGAAGATGATCTGTGGGAGTTGGGAGAAAGAAAAGAATATGATCAAAATATACTGTATAAAAATAAATAAGAACCAGGCAGTGGTGGCACATGCCTTTAATCCCAGTACTCAGGAGGCAGAGGCAGATGGATCTCTGTGAGTTTGAGGCCAGCCTGGTCTACAAAGTGAGTTCCAGGACAGCCAGAACTGTTTCACAGAGAAACCCTGTCTTGAAAAAAAAAAGAAAGAAAGAAAGAAAGGAAGAAAGGAAGGAAGGAAGGAAGGAAGGAAGGAAGAAAGAAAGAAAGAAAGAAAGAAAGAAAGAAAGAAAGAAAGAAAGAAAGAAAGAAAGAAAGAAAGAAAAAAGAAAAACCAATCATCTGCTAATACAGGCAAGTGAAAAAAAAGAATCTTATGTGGCACACGTGCACACACACACACACAAACACAAACACAAATGAAAACGCACACGCTTATATGAACAAAGAATCTGAGTTAGATGTTTGCACAAATTCTTTGACTCACTTGGACACAGTGGAAAAAGATGCCTGTTTTTGCTTTTCTAACTTATCAGGCAAGAGGAGGAAAGATTTCAATAGTGGACACCAGCTAAGGCAGACCGGATCTGGGAAGGACCACTTCCCTCCTGACATCTGTTTTCTTTGGATTCTAATTTGCAGGACTCGGTGAAAACAATGAAAATAGAGGCTCCCTGCTAAGGCGTTATTCAGCACATCAAGATAGCAGCAGAGGGTGTTAAACCTCCCATCTGGGTCTGGCCTGGCAGAGCCACAGGACCAGTACTCAGAGCTGGCACCGCCTCTGTGGTTTGACTGGGTCACATGCTGTTTGCTCACACTGGATCTGGTATGTCCACTCAGCACTGATAGGTGCCACACAGTGCTTAGTGAGGTGATCTCTGCCCCTACTTCCCCAGTTTTTCTTGCAAAGAACAGACCAAGTGCTCTTTGGTTTTCATTTTTTATGCTAGCCGCAGATGATGTTCTTTGTAGGCATGCAGACTTACTACTCCAAAGCCATAACTGAGAATTACCAAATGAGCTCCAGAACCTTGTGCAGACAGAAAAGCAGACCCTGCCCTGGTGATTAGCCATGTTCTCATGTGATCTACTGGCCTCTGTTTGAGTAAAGGAAAGAAACCAATTAACACCCAAATTAATTAATCTGCCCAATGGATACTACTATCCTAAGGGACATTTGATATGTCAAGAAATTCACCTATTTCAAATGTATGATTCAGTTGTTTTGAGCACTTTGCCATATGAGAAAGCCAGCATCAAAAACAATCCCGGAATGCTTTCAGCCATCTGTTAAAAACCCAACTATCCATTGAGAGCAAAACTGTGCTAGGGTCCCCTCATTCTGTTTCATCCCTATAAGTTTACCTTTCTTGGACATTTGACAAAAATGGAGTCATAAACTTCATCTTCTCTGATGTCCGGCTTTTCCAACTTAGCATACTCCTCTACTGCTGTGGGATGTTCTGTATGGCATATGTGTTGCTCTGATTGGTCAATAAATAAAACACTGATTGGCCAGTGGCTGGGCAGGAAGTATAGGCGGGACTAACAGAGAGGAGAAAAGAAAGAACAGGAAGGCGGAAAGAGACACTGCCAGCTGCTGCCATGACAAACAGCATGTGAAGATGCTGGTAAGCCACGAGCCATGTGGCAAGGTATAGATTTATAGAAATGGATTAATTTGAGCTATAAGAACAGTTAGCAAGAAGCCTGGTACGGCCATACAGTTTGTAAGCAATGTAAGTCTCTGTGTTTATTTGGTTGGGTCTGAGCGGCTGTGGGACTGGCAGGTGACAAAGATTTGTCCTGACTGTGGGTCAGGCAGGAAAACTCTAGCTACACTCCACAATGGAGGACATACCAGTTCTTTGCTCTTCCTGCAATGACATTTTCTATTGTGTAATATACAGATTTTAGACCCATTCCTGGTGGGTTAACATACTTTTTCACCTTGGAATGTTGGCTAGAAATATGCTATGAATATTCATATTCACATATTAATGTGAATATAATTTCATTCTTCATAATATAATAATTTTATTAATTCTTTGAAAATTTTATACATGCATACAACATAGTTTGATCATATTCAGCCCCTGTTCCTTCCCTAATTTTTCTCAGTTTTATCCCTTATCACTTGCTTCCTCCCAATATCGTGTCTCCTTTAAAAATTTTATTTCAACTAACCCATTGAGCCTAGCTTATTATGCCCATACACTCGTGGAGAGCCATAACCTGGAGCAGGATTAACCTAAGGGACTGTCACACCCTTAAAAAGATCCTACTTCCTCTCCATCAAGCCATCAACTGTCAGTAGCATCTCAGTTGAGGGAGGGGGCTCTGGAGCCCTTCCCATTTTGTGCTGGAGGGTTGACTGGCTTGACTTTGTTTTGAGTAGACCCCTAACAGTAGAATTTCTGGGTCCTCAGGTGTTTTTGTTTGTTTGTTGTTTACCTGTGTGAGCAATTTGTCTAACTCTTTTCTAGAGAAGTTATACCATTTGACATTCTCAGAAACGCTGTACAAATTGCTTTGTTGGCTGTGTCCTGTCCAACATTTGCTAGGGACCACCTTGTTAGTTAGAACATCTTTGTAAACAGCTTCTCATTGTGGGTCAAATTTCCTTTTCCAAATGATTAATGATGCTGAACACTGTTTCTTGGGTGTTTTAGCCAATGGCACTCAGCCCTCTGTGTGTTTGTCTTTATTTTTGCCCTGTTTTGTCTTTTTTTTATAGATTTATTGAGCTGTAGGTGTTCTTTTTAACTCTCTATTGAATTGCTAGGATGCAAGTGTTTTCTCCCACCTAATGTTCATCTTCTCATTGGCTGAATGTTAGTGTTTTGATATGTGAATTTTGAGTGTTGGTGGGTTTATCATTCTTCCTTGATAAATGGTCCCTTTAACATCCTGTCTTAGAAATCGTTGCCTAATGCCGAAGCTGAAAATTGCCCTCCTGTGTTTTCTTCCATAGGTTATCATTTTAGATACCTCACTGAAGTCTCTGCCTTGAGTGAATTTTGTGGGTGGTGCAAGGTGCGGTCTGAGATTTGCACGTGACATCCAGTTGTCCCAGCACCATCTGGTGAGCAGACTCTCCTTCCTCCAGCGATTATTTTTGGTACCTTTGCCAAAAATAAAATGACTATAAATATAAATATTTATTTCTGGATTCACAGTTCTGTCCCAATTGTCCATATGTCTGTGTATACTGATCTGACAGCAGGAGTCTTGTATTAAGAGGTTGTAAGTGGAAGTCCTCCTTTGTCTGTCCCCAAATTTCTTTGGTTCTTGTGTGCATTCAGCATCTTCATATAGATGTTTAGACTCGTTTGTTAGTTTCCATGGACTAAAAGTCTGTGGAATTTTTCTACAAACTGAATTGAAATTACAAATCAAATTGGGGAAAATTGCCCTCTTCTTAGTCTAGAAACACGGGATGCAAGCCTATTTGCTTGTATCTTCTTTAATTTTTATTGGGAGACCTTTGTTTCCCCTCAAACATACATGAACATTTTGCTGATGCTGTGATGAGTGGATCGTTATTCTTACTTTCATCTTTGGATTCCATTGCTTATACTCACACCTTAAGCTTGTTTTGTACTTCAGACAACAGGATGACAAAGGGCACTCACTGGCTGTGTGTGGAGGAGAGTAGAAAAAAATGCCAGAAGAATAAAATCATTACTCAAATGAATTAATGTGTCATATAGACACGTCTGTGGAAATTAAAGCAGAAAACCAAGTCTCTCTTTTTTTCTTTTTATTTTCCTGAGTATTAAATCCTGACTGTGGAGATGTGGTGAGAATGCCCACTGCACTGGAAGTTGCTGCATCGGGCAGCAGCACCTGGGTCTGGCTCCTGCAGACTGCAGGGTCTCTTTGCATGTGCTTTGCATGAGGTGTCCAGTCATCCCTGCCGCATCTGTAGACCACACTGCAGGGCACACTGCAGGGCACACAGCAGACCACACTGCAGGGCACACTGCAGACCACACTGCAGGGCACACTGCAGGGCACACTGCAGACCACACTGTAGTCCACACTGTAGTCCACACAGCAGACCACACTGCAGGGCACACTGCAGACCACACTGCAGGGCACACTGCAGGGCACACTGCAGACCACACTGTAGTCCACACTGTAGTCCACACAGCAGACCACACTGCAGGGCACACTGCAGGGCACACTGCAGACCGCACTGCAGGGCACAAGCCAGGCGGCCAGCCTTACCAGTTCCAGAGTCGTGTCTGCACAAGCTGAGAGTCAGACCCAAACCTCCCACCAACCCAGCGGCTCCTGAGAGGGGTGCCTGTTTCTTTTTCCATTTCCTCATCTTTCTGTCCTTCGTCTCTCCTCGTCCTTCCTCTCTTTCCTTTTCCTCCTTCCTCCTCTTCCTTTCTCTCCTCCCTTCTTCCCTCTCTCTCCAATTCATCCCTCTCTCTCCCTTCTTCCGTCTCTCCCTCCCTTCCATCTTTTCCTCCCTCCCTCACCCCAGCTCCGTCTTTTCTTTGTTCTCCCCCTTCTCTCCATCCATTCCTCTTTCTCTTCTTTCCTTATTTCCTCCCTCCCTCCACTTCTCCCCTTCTTGGCTTTCTTCTCTTCTTCCTTCCAATTCTCCCCTTTTTCCTTTTCTCTTCCTTTCCTCTCTCTCTTCCTTTGTCCTTCCTACTTAACTCCATGACTCTGGTAAGTCCACACAGAGTTATCTGATTATAGTAGCACCCCCACCCCAAAATCTTCAAACCTGAGATGACAACTTTACAGTTTCCCATTTTAATCTGATTTGGCAATACTATTCCAAACTAATCTTTTTTATTGTACTATCTACTTCTTAATAATGGGTATATGGTAATTTTTAACTTTCTCAGGGCCCTAACTTAGGTATATGGTATCAACTCAAGCAGGAGAAAGGACACAAACGTTCTCAGTTCATGCAGCATCAAGAAGGATGGCAGCCATTCTGACAACATCCCTGTCACTCCTGTCAGAAGAGCTATCACCACAAAAACAAATAAAAATAAATGCTGTCAGGATGAGAACCAAGGGGACCCATCCACTCTGCCGGTACGGTGTGGAACCAGTCCAGTCACCGTGGAAACCAGCGTGGAAGTTCCCTGGGAAATTAAAAACAGAGCTACCATGTGACTGAGCTTCAACATGTCTCAGTGTTTGCCCCAAAGATTGCAAATCAACATGTCACAGCACACTGCTTTAAGTTACAGTTTGTCTTTACTCTTGAGAATTTCATATGTGTACAGAAATGAAATCATATCTAATACCTATTCACCTCTAATGAAGCCCACCATCTACCCACAACCTGTGTCCTTTTTATTTTTATTGTTTGATAATTCACTAAGTCCAGTTAATGCTGTCTATCTAGTGATGTAGGGTCATCCTCAAGAGCATGGAAAGCATGGACTTACAGGACTATTCTCCAACAGCGCCAACTGCCCCAGGCTGGGGAGTAAAGCCCAACCCATGCCAGAATTTGGTTGCCATTACCAAAGCTGCTGTGAGTACATGATTGCAGCCATGTCATGTCCAGAAAACAGTGGTCCACAGCCCTCCTCCCCTTCTACACTCTCCCCACCCACTCTTCTGAGATGGTTCCTGAACCTGGGAGAAGAGGGAATCATAAAAATGTCCCACCCAGAACTATGCACTCAGCCTCTTATTCTCAGCACCCTGCCCAGCTGATGAGTCTCTGCACCAACAGCTGCCCACTGCAAAACAAGCTTCTCCGACCAGGGCTGAGAGCAGTGGGCATCTATGGGCATAAACATGAATTTTGGGAAGACAGTTTGACAACATGTTCATTTAGCAAAATAACACTAGCAGGTTCCAGCTTAGGGGCCATGGTGGTTTGAAAGAAAATGGCCCCCAAAAGGAGTGGCACCATTGGGAGGTGTAGATTTGTTAGAGTAGGTGTGGCCTTGGTGGAGGAAGTGTGTCACTGTGGAGGTGGGCTTTAAGGTTTCATTTGCTTAAGTGTCACAGTTGACTTCCTGTTGCCTGCGAGATATAGGACTCTTAGCTACCTCTCCAGGGCTGCATCTGCCTGCACACTGCCATGCTCCCTGCCATGACAATAATGGACTGAACCTCTGAAACTGTAAGCGAGACACCCAACTAAATGTTCTCCTTATGAAAGTTGCCATGGTCATGGTGTCTCTTCACAACAATTGTGGTGGTTTGAAAGAAAATGGCCCCCAAAGGGAGTGGCACTATTGGGAGGTGTGGCCTTGTTGGAGGAAGTGTGTCACTGTGGGAGTGGGCTTTGAGGTCTTTCTCTCAAACATCACTCAGGGTGACAGACAGTTGACTTCCTGTTGCCTGCAAGGTGTAGGACACTCCTCTATTTCTCCAGCACCATGCCTGCCTGCATGCTACCATGCTCCCTGCCATGATTGACTGAATCCCTGAACTATGAGCAAGCCACCACAATTAAATGCTTTCTTTGTAAGAGTTGCAGTGGTCACAGTGTCTCTTTACAGCAATAAAAAACCCTAACTAAGATAGGGTTTATGACCTCCCCAGTCATGAGCTTTTGACCAGGATGACAGTACCAGGCATGAGATTCCTTCATGCAGAGCAGGCCTCAGATCCATTCAGACAGCTGTTGGTCGCCCTGTAACGGTCATGTCATTATCGTGCCTATAGGCACATCTTGCCTATCAGACGGGCATTGCAGGATGCAGGGTCAACTTCTGAGTGAGACCACTGATAACCTTTCTCCCCCAGAACCCTGCGTAGCACCTTCTGGAACATAAAAGCTAGCCAGCACAGAGCAAGTTTCCAGATGAGCTTATGTTGATTTTTGTGACCTGCAGCCAAAGTGTGAGGTTTCTTCAGCTCAGGGGTCTTACTACGTAGTTGTGGTGGACAAGGAAGAATAGTGTAGCCTCTAGGAGACCTCTGGGTCCTTCCTGAGCAGCAACATGTGTATCCATGTTTATTGGGGCACTATGCGCAATAACTAAATTATGCAATAAGCCGCCTAGGTATCCATCCACAGAGGAATGGGGAGAGAAAGGATGATGTTTATGCATAATAGAATTTTCTTCAGCCATAAAGAAGGAAATTATGTTGTTTGACAGAGAAATTGATGTGTCTGAAGATGATCACATTACAGGAACCAAGCCATTCTCAGAAAGACAAACATGTTTTCTCTCATCTGTGGCTCCTAGATGTTTACATATGTGTGTGTGTGTGTGTGTGTGTGTGTGTGTGTGTGTACATATCGGTAACATGAGTACAGAGACAGAACTGGGGAAGGAAGAGGACTCAGGAGGGGGGGGAAAGGGGAGGACTGTGAGTGTGGAAAATATGTTAAAGTGCATCACGTGCTTTCATAAAGTGCTCTCCTATGATGTACATAATTAAAATTTAGTAAACAAACAAATACATACATACAATGTCTATTGAAATCATCCCCCGAGTACTAGAAATTCAATCAGCCCAGTGTTGTGAATGGAAAGTGAAAATATACCTGGGAAAAGCCAGATCAGGTCTGACAGGGGAGGCACAGCGGTCCCCATTCCACCCCATCCCGGCCTACAGTGACCAAGTAAGGCCATCTGAAAATACAACCTAGAAAACACTCTTATTTCAAATGTCCGTGAATTCAGATGCCATAGCAGGAGTCCCTGGGGCTCTCATATCCTGTGACTACGGAAGGGATGTGTGGGTTCCTTGTCCCTAGACTCATGAATGAGAAATCTTAGCAATGACAAAGGGTTCCAGCAAGGCTCTGCTGAAGACATAGAGACTTTTACTGATTTTCAAACTGTCCCTTGTTGTACACTTTATTTCTTTAATTTCTGAGATCTTGCAAGCTTTGTAAGGAATCTGGATGTAGCATTTTTGTTGAGATTTTAAAGTCAAATTTGAATAGAAGGCAAAGAGAACATTACCAAACGATTTTCATGGAGTGGGGATTGTCTTGTTTTCATGAAGGTTTAGGCAGCGTTTTGAATGCCAAACAATGTAAATTGCCACCAATATTTAAAATGTCAAAATTATGATCAGTTATTGTTTGATCAAGAAGGTATTCTAGGTCTGATTGCATAACAGCCAGGTTCTAGAAACAGGAGTATGCAAGGACACATTCTTTAGATTTGTGTCTACCTGTTTTGATGTCTCAATGTACATGGACTTAATATGTGCCTCTGATACTTTAGCTAGTCTCCCTCTTTTTTGTTTGTTTTGTTTTGTTTGTTTTCTGAGACAGGATTTCTCTGTGTAGCCCTGGCTGTCCTGGAACTCTCTCTGTAGACTAGACTAGTGTTGAACTCACAGAGATACACCTGCCTCTGCCTCCCATGTGCTGGGATTAAAGGTGTGTACCATCACCACCCAGCCTCTAGTCTCCCTCTTAATGGCGAAATGCCTATCTGTGGTGAAGAACAAGACAACAGGCGATATTATCATTTTATTAATGGTAGAGCTGAGACAAGGGACAATAAAGTTCATAAGGGACATTCAAAGGTGAGGCCTGCATTGCCTAAGCATATACAGCACGTTTGAAAACAACCTACTGGGTGTAGAGAGACGACGGTTCAGTGTTAAAAGCTTGGGCTGCTCTTTCAGAGGACCTGGCCTCAGTTCCCACATGGCGGCTCTCAACCATCTATAACTCTAATCGCAGGTGATCCAGCGCCCTCTTCTGGCTTCCTTTGGCTTCAGGCCTGCACTCATACTCCATACAGACATAAGTGTAGGCAAAACATCCGTACACATAAAATAAAGAAAACAACGTTTAAAATTAAGGACAAAAATAAAAGTAACACCCCCTTTTAAGGTGAGGAGGAACTGGGAGGAGTAGAGGCAGGGTAAACCATAATCAGGACATATTATATGAAAAAAATCTGTTTTCAGTAAAAGAAAAATAAGAATCTCCCTTTAGTAATTCTTTTATTTTTTTCTTCCAAGGGGATGATTCATGCATTGAATTAAGATGCTAAATTATTATTGTTAAATTATTTTCAGCAACAAATTCATCATACACAAATCATCTTATGTATCACAAAGATATACATTTTTACAAATTATGTTTCAATAAAGCTGAAAGGAGATATATAAAAAATAATAAAAGTAACATTGTGAAAAGCATGAAATGTGAAGTGTTTCTGCAATAATAGTGTACAAATGTAGCTCCAGGTAAATTAGAAAATTAAAATAAGTAAATTTTCTTGGAAAACTAGGAAGAATTCTTAGGTTCTGAAGAATAACAAAGCTAAATGATTTTTTTTTCTGTAGACTCTTAGAGAAGAGGAAGTCTACTAAAACAGAAAAACCTCATTTTTCTACAACAGGAGATATTATAGAATTAGAAGTTATCTTCATGGCATTTTAAGAATTAGCTGGACTCCATGTCCATGAATCAATGGTGCAAAGGTTTTTACTCCTTTGAAAGAAGACTCTGAGAACTGCAGGATGTTCTGCATGAGCAGGGCCACCCAGAAAAACGTTCCCAGGGCTCATCTAACCAAGCACTTGGAAATCCCTGTAGCCACAGTGCTAGGGATGCAGGTCACTGCTGCAGCTGGCTGCAGACCCTGGCGTTATTCATGTGACGCTGGTTTTGCTGGCATGCACAATGCGTGAGTTATGAGGTAATAGATTCTTCCACCCAGATTTCAGAGAAAAGCTCCAGCGTCCGGGCAATTTATGAGAGGGTCAGGATCCTCGCTTGCATGATGCTGTGAGACGAGGGCTAAGCTGTAATGGGGACCTTCAGGATGATGGAGATGGCAGGACTGTGGACTGCCTGCTGAAGAGAGTGTATGAATGGCACCAACTCAAAGGAAGGGTCACTTGGGCAGAAAACAGCCAGTCCATCTGACAGGGCTGCTCAAGCCTGCTGAGGGTACCGCCTCCTCACAGGTGCCCTCTCTTCCAAAAAAATCTAAAGGATTTAATGTTTGCAATGCAGGATTCCAATCTTGTTTCGGTCCTATCCCTCCATGCTCTGTCCCCTTTCCTCTTTGTGGAAAAAATGGAAATGTTTACTTTGTCGTGGAGCATGAGCTCTGTCAAGTATTTTTATGATGCTGACTACAATTAAGAGTTCTCTGAGTCTCAGAAGAGATGCTGAGTTTTGCTGTGGGATGTTCTGTATGGCAAATGTGTTGCTGATTAGTCAATAAATAAAACACTGTTTGGCCATTGGCTAGGTAGGAAGTGTAGGCGGGACAAGGAGGAGAATAAAGCTGGGAAGTGGAAGGCTGAGTCAGAGAGACACTGCCAGCCGCCACGATGAGAAACAGCATGTGAAGACTCCAGTAAGCCACGAGCCACGTGGCAAGGTATAGACTTATAGATTAATAGAAATGGATTAATTTAAGCTGTAAGAACAGTTAGCAAGAAGCCTGCCACGGCCATACAGTTTGTAACCAATATAAGTCTCTGTGTTTACTTGGTTGGGTTTGAGAGGCTGTGGGACTGGCAGGTGAGAGAGATTTGTCCTGACTGTGGGCCAGGCAGGAAAACTCTAGCTACAAATGGCGTCCAACGTGGTGGCAAGAGTTTCCACCTAAAAACTGAGAAAAAAGATTCTAAAACGGAGCTAAAAACAGTTCCTAATTGTCTCTCTCAAATGAGCAGCAGCTGCTGGTTTGAGCTACTGGTGGGTTCCTAGCATGTGCCCTTGACCTGCAGTATGGCGGGAATGAGGCCTCTGCAAGTGGCACATTAAGCTGCGTGGTGAATTTAGCCTTTGCTAGTACAAAATAAAAAAAAAGAAGTTTCTGGGCTACACGCTGCTTGGATAAAAGCATAGACCCACGATAGCTCCCAGAGCTGGTGGTAAACCACGGCCATGTTGGGAAGCTGAGGTGGGCAGAGCCAGCAGCCACAGCTGCTGCAGTTTAAAGCAATAGATTCACAATAAGACAGATTCAGATGTAATAGTTTACAATGTGTGTAAAAATGTACATAGGCTTAAAAGAGACAAAAAAGGTGATATATACAGTTATAAAAACAAATACATAGTTTTAAAAAATAAAATCTTTAAAGAGACAGTAAAATTAATATAAAAAATAAGCCACGTGAAGATGAATATTACACAGAGAATCTGGATTGTGTTGTCTTTGGGATTTTTAACTGCAGAAAAACATTTGATTGTAAAAGCTGTTGAGTTATGCCAAAATGTATATTTTAAAGATACCGTGACTTCAAAATTTGGATATAAGGATATGTTGCTTTGGAAAAGAGTCTCTTTTGTTCCCACAGAAAGCCAGAGGCTATGGATTTGTTCAAGATTAAGATACATCAGATTTGACCAGCCAAGACCCCCTGAAAGGTCTCTGATGACACCATGGCCCAGATGATCCAACATCCAGAATGGTTTCAAGGCAACTGGCTCAGATAATACAGCCTCACGGACTACTCCATGATCCTTAAATTTTCTTTGTGTCCCCATAAGATACAGCGCCCCCCCTCCAGCAGGAAGTAGTAAGAGAAGCTACGCCCAAATTCCCAAATTATATGTAATTTTCCTTTGTTAAGGTTAAAACCTTCCTTTTTGAAAAAAAAAATAAAGGGGGGAAGTGCTGTGGGATGTTCTGTATGGCAAATGTGTTGCTGATTAGTCAATAAATAAAACACTGTTTGGCCATTGGCTAGGCAGGAAGTGTAGGCGGGACAAGGAGGAGAATAAAGCTGGGAAGTGGAAGGCTGAGTCAGAGAGACACTGCCAGCCGCCACGATGAGAAACAGCATGTGAAGACTCCAGTAAGCCACGAGCCACGTGGCAAGGTATAGACTTATAGATTAATAGAAATGGATTAATTTAAGCTGTAAGAACAGTTAGCAAGAAGCCTGCCACGGCCATACAGTTTGTAACCAATATAAGTCTCTGTGTTTACTTGGTTGGGTTTGAGAGGCTGTGGGACTGGCAGGTGAGAGAGATTTGTCCTGACTGTGGGCCAGGCAGGAAAACTCTAGCTACAGCGTTTTGACTTCTGAACAACTTTGGAGCTGTGAAGATCTTGGTGACTCTGAGAGGAGCTAAATAAATTTCACATGATGAGGTGGTCACGAGACTTTGACCAGTGGCTAGGATACTGTGTTTTGAAAATAAAATGTCTCCCACAGGCTCACAGTGTTCTGTTTTGAAGGTGTGGGAATTTTAAAGGGACAGACCTACTTAAGGATGTTGCTCACTAATGGGTTTGAAAGCCATTCCTTCTCTGGTCCTTTCCTTACTCTGTGTACCATGAAAGGACAAACTTCATCTGCATGCTCCCTTCCACAAGCCCAGAGTCAATGGAACCAAGGCCAATAAACTGAAATCTTGACGCTGAATGAATCTTTACTCCTCAAGCTAGAATGTCAACTCTTTTTGTCACAGAGATAATACTCAGCTATTTTTAAGTCCACTGGGTACTGGTTTGAGGCAGACTCTGGGTGGAGAAAATTTATGCATCTCCACAAGGTAATGCAATTTGTTCCAATGAGGACAGACTGCTACCTTCTATGAGAGGTAAATGGCCTTCCTTCTGACCATGGTATGATGGTGCGAGTCAAGGATTAGTCTCTGCTGTTGGTATGTGAAAGATTGTCTTCAGAACAGCCCTCCTGGGGTCAAGTCACATATGGAATCTATGAGCACGCCTTTCTGCCACTGTAGGTTTGAACTTTTGGCCAGTTGAGCAAATGCTGGGAAGTCGGAGACAGAAGCTGGCCAGAGCTCCCAACACTGTCTTAACTGCCCCCCTGGAGAACTATTTTCCACTGGAGGATGCTAGAAAGGAGAGTCACTGTCTTCAGTTTGGTAGCCACTGATGAACTCACCAGGCTCCAGTGGTTAATTCCACACCCAAGGTCATGTAGATGGCCCTGGATAACCACAGTGGGTCACAAAATAAAATAAAAAGACCAGAAAGTAGGAAATGAACTACAGAAGGCAGCAGAGGTCTACGTGGAATAAGAGAGTGTGGGAGTAAGAGTAATCAAAGGAACCATGTACGCATATGGAACTGTCAGATAATAAATTTAATTAATAAAAATCACAGCAGATAACGCAAAACAAACAAATATAACTAGTTATGTGATAATTGTTTCCATTTTCTTTGAGAGAATGAAATAGTAAATGCTACAAAAGTCAGATTTTATAGTCAAACACACACATTTCTACTTAATAGAAAAATTAAATTGACAAAATAAAAAAATTTAACTGTCAATTTAGAAGAATTACAGACCAAATCTCTTAATCCAATAACAATGAGTTTTCATCTAGATAAACTGATTTCTGTAGTACTATTTTAAAAAAATATTTTTTTCTAAAATGGATACAATAATAGTAAGGAATCTAAAAAGCCTTCTCTTATAGCAAGAATGTTCTTGTAGACAATGTTTTAAGCACGGTATTGTAAGCACAGAGAGAATTCCCAGTCTGAGTATTTTGAAGTGCTAAACACATTGGCTTTCTTATTAAAACTTGATTGCATTTAAATAAGTATGTTAATGCATTGCCCCGAAACAGGTACCCTAACACAAAGCTAGTTTACAGAAATTATTAAACTCATTTGCAAGTCTTGTGAGCAGAATTGATATGTATGCCTCTACACTGTTCATGGAAAATGAGTAAATTTAGTTATGAACAATAGATTGAGCCCAAGATATTAAATAGGGAGAATATGTTACTGAGTGAGGGAAGAAAGAGTAGCACTGAATACGTTTCATACATGACTGGGGGACGGTCACACAGCAATCAGAGACTTACAACCCTATGCAAGGTGAGCAGATTATTAAATATATAATCCAAATATGTTTCTGCTTTCACTGCATTTTTGGTGTTTGGCCAAATAAGCTTTTCCTGTCTTTTACATAATGAATTTGCAACTAAGCCATCATTGATTTTAGAGGGTTCTTCACTTATTGGCTTTCACACCCTAGAGTCACTGGAAATTAAAATTGCATGAGTAGAGCTCATTTGTGAGCTAAAGAGTCTTCTGCACAGTGAATGGATTGATGCTCACTGGCTTTTGTTACACACACACACACACACACACACACACAATCTAGGGCTGTATCATTTGAGTACAAAAAGCAGCTTTACAAATAAGCATGCAACCTTGGATGTAAATATGAAGCAAATGATCTATAAAGTACATCGAAGTCTTCGAGTTGTGTTCATGCTTCATGATGGGTAGAGACACATTTAATGCTTGGTGCGGGTGTTACTAGTGTAAAGGACAAAGCATAACAACGCCACCTGCCATGGGCTTTTCAAAGAACACAGAGCTTTGAGAAAGACAAATATTTACGTCATGGAGCACCAGATGGGAAGTACAATAGACACTAAAAAGAAAACTGCTGTTACAGAAAGGATATATCATAAAAGAATACCAACCCAATATCTACCACATTAGAGAGTCTTGGGTGTTTAAGTCACTTAAAGATGCTAATCTATGAAGAAATAGCTTGATGGGCTGGCAAAATATTGCAGTGGGTAAAGGTGCAGCTGGAAACCTGAGGACCTGAATTTGATCCCTGGGCCTTACACAGCTAAAGGGGAGAACCAACACCCAAAAGTTCTCCTCTGAACTCCACATGTTTACTGTGGCTTGTGCACCTACATATATTTACGATAAATAAGAGCAATGTTAAGAATTAAAAAAAAGCTTTGAATTCTCTAAGTTGGCAGAAGCTAATTGTTTGGTTTGGCAAAAACTATGCATCAAACTGCTTAATTTCCCTCTACTTAAAAGAGTAGATTGGATGTGTAGAGGAAGTATTAAGACCTGTCATTTGGACCTAAAAATATTTCTACTAACATCTTAATTTAGGGGCCAGTATAAAGAAAATTGCTCAAAAGAGTAAATTTTCAACCAAATTAAATTCTTTTCAAAACAGCAGCAGCAGCACATCTTAATTACTGCAGAGAGAACAAGGGTTTGATTGCAGTCTTGGGGAGAAGTGTTCTGAAGAGTGTTGAGTCAGGACCTGCCACTCAGTGCCACCCATGTCTCAGCTGTGTGCTGAGGGCAGAGGGGATGCTCACCCATCAGGGCTGCCAGGACTCCTTTAGATCTGTTTCCATGGTAAAAACTGTGAAGAAAATGGCAAGATTAGAAAATAATATCTAATTGACTATTTATTACCCACTGGACTCACCCCAGGAATTACTGGCAGAGTGAGTGCAGAGAAAGTCTCGCTGTCTGTAGTGAATACAGGTGTTATTATTTCATTATTTATTTTTTTGTTAGCATACAATGACAGGCTTTATTACTGCATTTTCATGCACATATGTAATTATGCTTGCTTCTTGTTTGTTCCGCTCCCTCTTGCTGGTTCTTTTCCTCTTTAATGTCCCTTGTATTTTTTGATTGCATGTATTCCAACAACCTCTCTTGTTCCCCCATCTCACTCCCTTTATGGTTTCCCTCTGCTTTCCACCTTTATGTCCTAAAAATGCGTGCATATAGATTCCACCTACATCACATTTGTCTTTCACAGTGCAGCTTATTTCTCTTAACTCAACCATCTCTAGCCCCGTCTATTTTCCTGAAGTCATGATTGCATTTTTTCATGATTGAATGAAACTATAGTGTCCCCAAAGGATTCTAAGTCATTACACCATTGAGACACTCACATTTCCACGTTTCTTGCTGCACTATTAACACCAGTTAAGAAATGGAAACAGTCTCCTTGTCCATCAACAGATGAATGGATGAAGAGAACGTGGTACATGTGTATTTTTTTCACCTTGTCTTTTTCATCTGCTTCTTGAAGCACATCTAACATCTTTCCACTTTTTGGCCAATGTGAATGAAGCCACAGGGTTTTCTATGAACCTGGTGTCCTGTTTTTCTTTGCTTTTAATAAATGCCCATGTATATGATAGCTGCAACAGTACCATGCCTGGGTGTCACTCAAAGGACTCCTAATCATTGTATCACAGAGATACTTGCACTTCAATTCTTACTGCAGAACTGCTCACAGTAGGTAAGTTAGAGAACATGCCTACATAGGCATCAATCAACAGGGAGATGGATTTTAAAAAAAACATGGTGTATAAGTACAGACAATGAAATTATACTTAGTCCTAAAGATCAATATGTCATTTGTAGGAAAATGGATACAGCTGGAGATTATCACAGTGAGCAAATAAGTCAGTCTTAGGAGACAGATGTTGTGCAATCCCATTCATTTATGGACCCTAGATTTAATATAATATAAATACATAATTCATGTGCGTATATGACATAAAGGTAGAAGCAAAACTGTCTAAAACAACAAAAAGAGAGGGTCAAGAAAAGAGAGGGGAAATGTGGAGAGAGTATGCTCAATGGACATGAAATGTGTGTATGAAACCCATTGCCATGTACATTCAACACATACTGATGTTGATGGTGATGATGGTGATGGTGGCGATTATGATGGTGATGATGGTGATGATGGTGGTGGTGATGATAATGGTGGTGATGATGATGATGATGATGATGGTGATGATTATGGTGGTGGTAAAACCGCAGACTGTTTCCAGTGTGGCCATAATATTTTACAGTCACACTAGCAAAACCAAAGCTATTCAATTATTCTAAATTTTTGCTAAATTTAGATATGGCTCAGTGGGTATAGGCCCTTGCCATTAAGCCTGATGACCTGAGTTCAGTCCCGGGGACACACATGATATAAGGAGAGAACTGAGCCCTGCAAGTTTTTCTCTGACCTCCACGTGCTTAGTCCAACTAGTGTTTCCCATGTGCCCACTGGGGATGCTCAACCTACCAATGGCCATCAAAGAAAAGTTATTCTCCCTCTCCTGGTAGCCATCAATCACCAATATGTCCTCAAGGAGGGGCAGAGCCTTTGGGAGCTCCTCCCAGCTCCACGCTGGGTTTTCTAACTGTCTTGATTTTGTGCAGGTTAGTTCCTGTGAAGACCAGCCATGCCACATCCAAAAGTCAGCATTTCACATCGCTTGGCTTTATCTTCCAGCTCTCACACTCTTCCCACCCCTCTCTTCCAAGATGGTCACTGAGCCTTTGGGGGCTTGTAGAGCGGTCCCCTCCACAGCTAAGAGTTTGCAGTTACTCATGGCATTTGCAACAGTCGTGAGTCACTGCACTGATCACTACTCTCTGCCATAAGAAGCGTCCCTGATGAGAGTGAAAGTAGCACAAACGTACAAACATAAACACATGTAGAAGGTAGCTTGACAACAGGATCGTCAACATCAACACACACACAGGCACACACACATGCACACACACTGGATCTGCACTGCCCTGGCAGTGAGTTTTAGCCATGTTTTCTGTACCATGTATAAATTCTTTCCTGTGGAACAGGCATCAAATCCACGAGAAATGTAACTGTGATAGTCCATGGTACCTATTTCGTTAAATTTGATGTTTGAGAGGTACCTAGTGAGAGTTCTACAAACCAAATGCATGAACATGTTATTTATACCCTCCCCTCCCATAGTCATACTCTCCTTCCCATGATCCTCTTCTTATTCCCCAAAGTCCCCTTCTACTTTTAACTTTCCTGTCATTTTTCCCTGTTTGGGGGAATGCCACATGCAACATGATACATGTAATACTTGATTTTTTTTAAGGTTAGTTCAGTTCTATCCCCTTTTATGCAAGTGATTCTCTCAAATGACCCAGCTGTGCCACTCCTGACGCACCTTGTGAAGGGACATCAGTCATGCTTCGTGTCTCCCACGATTTTTCATGCACTTTATGACAGCTCAGACTTGGCTTATTGGACCATTTCCTCCTCTGTGCAATATATTTTCTTTGATAACTTTAGTGAAGCCTTTTGTTGATTAAGGATTTTTTTTCTGATTATGTCCCTGTTTGTTATAAATTCTGCAAACAGTTTTTTTTTAAAGGTATGGAATTCTAAGATGTCATTGTTGTGTTTTGAACATAAAATTTTACTCTCCGCAAGAGGGGGTCAAGATCATGATAGGGAAACCCACAGAGACAGCTGTCCTAGGTCGTGGGAGTTCACAGACTCTGAACTGAGAGGTAGGGAACCTTCATGGGACTGACCTAAGCCCTCTACATGTACGTGACAGTTCTGTAGCTTGGTCTGTTTGTGGCCCACTGGAACCAAGAAGATCTGACCCTGGCGCATGAGCTGGCTTTTTGGAACCTCTTCCCTATGGTGGGATGCCTCGCTCAGCCTTGATGCAGTGGGAAGGAGCTTGGTTCTGCCTCAGATTGGTATGCCATGCTTTGTTGACTCCGATGGGAGGCCTTACCCTTTCTGACTAGTGGATGGGGTGGGGTAGAAAGGAGGTGGGAGGGAGGCGACAGAATGAGAAGAAGGAGGAGAAACTGTGGTTGATAAGTAAAATAAATAAAAAATATTATTAATAATAAAAAAGACAGAATGTAGATTTCTAGTGTTAAATAATTAACATCTAATAAAATATTTCTTTCCAAATTAAAAAAAAAAAGTACCTTCTGAATGTGCTTCCTTTTTTTGTCTGGAAGACTCCACATATCTTTGGAGACATTTCATCTCCCTGTGATTTGTCAGATATCTGAATGGCATGACTGTAATCCTCAGTAGGCTGATTCGTGATATCTCAAGCACATCCCTGTTCTTCAATAGTTGAAAACCGTGAATGTGTCAGATGACAGGTTAAGAGTAAATGCAAGTGTCAGGTAGAGATAAGGTTGCCAGCCTGCTGATGTTGTAGTATGGAGGTCATCTGCATGAATCGTCTGGGCCACAGGTAACCCCAAGATCTGTGTAAGTAAGGGGAATTTCAAGACAATCTGCCACCACTGTGGAAGATGGGGGAGCAGTCATGGTCATAGGACTCTGAGCATTCCCTAGAAGCTGGGACAAGAAAGAGAACAGATTCTTCTTCTCTAGGCCCCCAGGAACCATGAAGTCAGTCCAGTAGACACATCACTTCCTGTACAGTGAAGTCCATTTTGAACTATTGACAACAGAAGTCTGACTTCTTGAGTTCATCGAGTTAATTTGGAAGTGAAACAATCATTCTGAGCAAAGAAAAGTTTCAATATGGTTTTATCAGTTGTGAAAAGTCTAAAAATTTCATATGGTTTTTCTGTCATACTCTCTCATGTGATTTTATTAACTTTCCCTTATCTATTGTATTCTTTAAAGTACTTATTCAGTTTTACGTTCAGTTTCTGCATGTTTACATTTCAAAGGTTTTTTAATCATGTGTTTGTTTTTCAAATACACCTGGGTGTTTTCATTCCCATCCCTTGTTCTTACTATTGACAATGTTATTCTTTAGTCTTCAAGCGTGCTGGAAAAATTTATTTTCAGTCTGCTCAAAAAGCAAAATCAATTCTTATGCTGTTGTCTTGAAGACTCTTTCTATGGCTTTTTGTTTCCCGTGATTTTCCTATGGCTTCTTGTTTAACGTTTCTTCTCTCATCTCCCCTTATACTTTGATTTTTTTTAAGCCTCTGATCCTTGAAACTTTGCCTGTGTCAGTGTTTTGAAACCTGGGCTTGAATTCAAGAATGACCCACAGGAATTGTGGTTGCCTCTTTTTCAATATTTATGAGCACAAATAAATCCAGGAAGATTTCATGGGCCTGTCTGCTGAAGATTCTCACAGACTTTTACGTTGAAAACTCAAATTCCCGTATAACATGACTTGACTTGTAGAATGAATTTTTAGGTCTCTTTCCTCTAGAGCCGTGATTGAAAACCCAGTCTTTCTCCACTGCCTCCAAGGGCGGTGCAACACCGTTGTCATGGTTGGTGACACTGTTGACTGCCGATCCTGCTGTGGAGCTCCACTCTAGGGGAGATTATCTAACCAAACTGTCTACTTTGGACTTGGTGACGACCTTCTCAGTAAGTGGAGGTTTGGATCATGAGTTTGGAAGATGCCACTTCTTAAATTCTGAATGAGCCCCCAGTCTCCTGTATTCTACTGAAATTGCCTCCAGGTCAATATTTCATGAACTCTATTGGGACTGTCCCTCAGGTCAGTACTCCCAAACTCTGCTAAGATTGCCTCCAGGTCAGGATGTGACAAGCTCAGACAAAGCTGCCAATGAAAATTCTAAAAGGAAGCCCATAGTGCTGTCTATGACCAA